GTGTTATTAGTGGTGTGTTACCCCAATTATTAGCAACAGTGGTGTACTCCAAGGATCAGTGTTATTAGTGGGGTATCCCAAGATTCAGTGTTATTAGTGATGTACATCAAGGATCAGTGTTATTAGTGGTGTACCCCAAGGATCAGTGTTATTAGTGGGTGTACCCCAAGGATCAGTGTTATTACTGGGGTACTCCAAGGATCAGTGTTATTAGTGGTGCACCCCCAAGGATCAGTGTTATATTAGTGGTGTACCCCAAGGATCAGTGTTATTAGTGATGTACCCCCAAGGATCAGTGTTTTAGTGATGTACCCCAAGGATCAGTGTTATTAGAGGGGTATCCCAAGATTCAGTGTTATTAGAGGTGTACCCCAAGGATCAATATTATGATGTACCCCAAAGATCAGTGTTAATAGTGAAGTGCCTCAAGGATCAGTGATATTAGTGGGGTACTCCAAGATTCTGTTTTTAGTGGTGTACCCCAAAGATTAGCATCAGCGGTGTACCCCAAGAATCAGTGTTATTAGTTGGGTACCCCAAGATTCAGTGTTATTAGTGTTGAACCCCAAGGATCAGTGTTATTAGTGGTGTATCCCAGGGTTCAGTGATATTAGTGGTGTACCCCAAGGATCAGTGTTATTAGTGGTGTACCCCAAGGATCAGTGTTATTAGTGATGTACCCCAAGGATCAGTGTTATATAGTGGTGTACCCCAAGGATCAGTGTTATTAGTTGTGTACCCCAAGGATCAGTGTTATTAGTGGTGTACCCCAAGGATCAGTGTTATTAGTGGTGTACCCCAAGGATCAGTGTTATTAGTGGTGTACCCCAAGGTCAGTGTTATTAGTGATGTATCCCAAGGATCAGTGTTATTAGTGGTGTACCCCAAGGATCAGTGTTATTAGAGGTTTACCCCAAGCATCAGTGTTATTAGTGGTGTACCCCAAGGATCAGTGTTATTAGTGATGTACCCCCAAGTTTCAGTGTTATTAGTGGTGTTCCCCAAGGATTAGTGTTATTAGTGGTGTACCCCAAGGATGAATGTTATTAGTGGAGTACCCAAGGATTAGTGTTAGTAGTGGGGTACCCAAGGATCAGTTTTTTAAGTGGGGTTCCCCAAGGATCAGTGTTTTTTAGTTATGTACCTCAAGATTCAGTGCTATTAGTGGGGCACACCCCAAGGAATCAGTATTATTAGTGGGGTACCCTAGGGGTCCAGTGTTAATAGTGCACCCAAGATTTAGTGTTATTAGTGGAGTACACTTATGATTCAGTGTTTTTAGTGGGGTACCCCAAAGTTCAGTGTTATTAGTGGGGTACCCCCCAGGTTCAGTGTTATTAGTGGGGTACCCCAAGGATCAGTGTTATTAGTGGGGTACCCCAAGGATCAGTGTTATTAGTGGGGTACCCCAAGGATCAGTGTTATTAGTGGGGTACCCCAAGGTTCAGTGTTGGGACCCTTTACCTATTTAAAAAGGTTATAGAGTTTTGGATAAAAAGTCCCATTTCAGTCTCTGCAGTTGGCACGAAGCTTTGAGGTGGAATAACGTCCTGACAAGATTCAGCTACAAGCCACCATCAGTGCCCCTCAGCTCTGGAAGGTTTTACCCCTTCATGAACGGACCATTTTTTGAAATTCCATGCTAATTCAACTGGCAATTGCGCGGTCATGCAACACTCTACCCACTTAACATTTATATAATTTTCTTCACAAATAGAGCTTTCTTGTGTGGTATTTGATCATCACTGGGTTTTTTTTACTCAATAATTATATTCAATAAAAAAATTAAAAATAAATAATTTTTTTCACAAATGTAGGCCAAAATGTAATCTGCTACATGTCTTTGGTAAAAACAAAATCTCAATAAGTGTACATTGATTGATTTGTGTGAAAGTCCTAGCGTCTACAAACTATGGGATATATACGGGAAATTTTAGTAATTTTTTTTTAATCTACTAATGTCGGTGATTGACTTATGGTGGGTCTGTAATAGTGCGCTAATCTGACACTAACTGACACTTGGTGGGAACTGACTAACTGACACAGATATCCCTAGTGACATTAATACATAAGGGGGGATATGATCACCATGTATAATACATAAGGGGGGATATGATCTCCATGTATAATACATAAGGGGGGATATGATCTCCATGTATAATACATAAGGGGGGGTATATGATCTCCATGTTATAATACATAAGGGGGATATGATCTCCATGTATAATACATAAGGGGGATATGATCTCCATGTATAATACATAAGGGGGTATATGATCTCCATGTAGTGTAATACATAAGGGGGGATTATGATCTCCAAATGTATAATACATAAGGGGGGGATATGATCACCACGTATAATACATAAGGGGGGATATGATCACCATGTATAATACATAAGGGGGGATATGATCTCCATGTATAATACATAAGGGGGATATGATCACCATGTATAATCCACATAAGGGGGGATATGATCTCCCATTGTATAATACATAAGGGGGGATATGATCACCATGTATAATACATAAGGGGGGGCCGGGGGATATGGATCTCCCATGTATAATACATAAGGGGGGGGATATGATCTCCATGTATAATACATAAGGGGGGATATGATCTACCATGTATAATACTATAGGGGGATATGATCTCCAGTATATAAATACATAAGGGGGGGAATATGATCTCCATGTATAATACATAAGGGGGGATATGATCTCCATGCTATATAATACATAAAGGGGGGATATGATCTCCATGTATAATACATAAGGGGGATATATCTCCATATATAATACATAAGGGGGGTAGAAGATCTCCATGAAAAATACATAAGGGGGGATATGATCTCCATGTATAATACATAAGGGGGGGATATGAATCTCCATGTATACATAAGGGGGGACATGATCTCCATGTATAAATACATAAGGGGGATATGATCTCCATGTATAATACATAAGGGGGAATGATCTCCATGTATAATACATAAGGGGGGATATGATCTCCAGGTATAATACATAAGGGGGGGATATGATCTCCATGTATAATACATAAGGGGGATATGATCACTCTCCCTATAAATGTATAATACATAAGGGAGGATATGATCTCCATGTATAACGACATAAGGGGGGATATGATCACCATGTATAATACATAAGGGGGGGGATATGATCTCCATGTATAATTACATAAGGGGGGGAGATATGATCTCCATGTATAATACATAAGGGGGATATGATCTCCATGAATAATACATAATGGGGGGATATGATCTCCATGTATAATACATAAGGGGGGGATATGATCTCCATGTATAAAACTAAGGGGGATATGATCTCCATGTATAATACATAAGGGGGGAAATGATCTCCATGTATAATACAAAAGGGGGGATATGATCTCCATGTATAATACATAAGGGGGGGATATGATCTCCATGTATAATACATAAGGGGGGATATGATTCACCATGTATAATACATAAGTGGGGATATGATCTCCATGTAATAATACATAAGGGGGGATATGATCTCCATGTAAATACATAAGGGGGGGGATATGATCTCCATGTATAATACATAAGGGGGGATATGATCTCCATGTATAATACATACGGGGGATATGATCTCCATGTATAATACATAAGGGGGGATATGATCACCATGTATAATACATAAGGGGGGGATATGATCTCCATGTATAATACATAAGGGGGTATATGATCTCCATGTATAATACATAAGGGGGGATATGATCTCCATGTATAATACATAAGGGGGGATATGATATCTCCATGTATAATACATAAGGGGGGGATATGATCTCCATGTATAAATACATAAGGGGGGGATATGATCTCCATGTATAATACATAAGGGGGATATGATCTCCATGTATAATACATAAGGGGGGATATGATCTCCATGTATAATACATAAGGGGGGATATGATCTCCATGTATAATACATAAGGGGGGGAATCATATATCTCCATGTATAATACATAAGGGGGATATGATCTCATGTATAATACATCAAGGGGGATTTGATCATCCCATGTATAATACATAAAGGGGGGATATGATCTCCTATGTATAATACATAAGGGGGGATATGATCTCCATGTATAATACATAAGGGGGATATGATCTCCATGTATAATACATAAGGGGGGATATGATCTCCATGGATATGATCCCTCCATGTATAATACATAAGGGGGATTTGATCTCCATGTATAATAATAAGGGGGGATATGATCTCCATGTATAATACATAAGGGGGGATATGATCTCCATGTATAATACATAAGGGGGGATATGATCTCTAAGTTTAATACATAAGGGGGGATATCATCCCTCCATGTATAAATACATAAGGGGGATATCATTCTCCATATGTATAATACATAAGGGGGGATATGATCTCCATGTATAATACATAAGGGGGGATATGATCTCCATGTATAATACATAAGGGGGGATATGATCTTCTAAGTTTAATACATAATGGGGGATCATATCCATCTCCATGTTAAAATACATAAGGGGGGATATGATCCCCTCCATGTATGTAAAATACATAAGGGGGATATGATCACCATGTATAATACATAAGGGGGGATCATGATATGATCTCCATGTATAAATACATAAGGGGGGATTTCATCTCCATGTATAATACTAAGGGAGGATATGACTCTCCATGTATTAATACATAAGGGGGGATATGATCTCTAAGTTTAATACTAGAGAAGAGCGAAGTATTCAAAAATTCGATTCTTACTGATTCGGCGAATTCGTGGAAAAATTTCGATTCGAGTCGAATATATTCGCTGTGAATTTAACTTAAAAAAGGTGTTTCTAGGCTTCAGAGAGCCTTTATATTAGTGCAGAACACTGTACCTTTAATTTAAATGTCCCTTGGAGTCTGCTGGGGAAGAGAAATAATACTGTCAGTCAGTATGACATGCAGATGAGTGCCGTCGATCTTAGAATCACCGCACACTTCACTCATTTGGGCAGTCACTGGGGCCAAAACCAGAGTGTGGAGCCACAGTGTGGCGTGGAGGCAGCAGCAATGGGAGGCCATACAGCACCCTATGACAAAAATGGAAACCCACCAGCAGTGTGAGGAGACCTGAAAGTGGCACATGGCAGAGTGTGGCGATAGAGACAGCAGCAATGGAGGCCGTACAGGGACCCATGAACACACTCTGGACCTGGCAGCAGCATGAGGAGGGGCGGTACAGGGGCCCATGACAGATTACGGGCCTGGCAGCAGCATGAGGAGTCGGTTAACGGGGGCCCATGGCAGCTTACGGGCCTGGCAGCAGCAATGGGAGGCCCTGGTACAGGGACCCATGACACACTCTGGACCTGGCAGCAGCATGTGAGGCGGTACAGTAGGGGCCCATGACAGATTACGGGCCTGGCAGCAGCAATGAGGAGTCCGGTACGGGGGCCCATGACACACTCTGGACCCCTGGCAGCAGCATGAGGAGGCGGTACAGGGGCTGCATGACAGATTACTAGCCTGGCAGCAGCAAACTTGGACAGGAGGGACGTTCAGCATCTGCACCGTCTGGTGCGTGCTCGCAAACTGTTTGTCCTCTCTGGAAACGGATTTCCAAGATAGACTGCATACGGAATCCGTGAAGAGGATGTAGCAGGAGGAAGGAAGCAGATCACTGAACAGAGCGGAAATATGTCCAACAAGCCGACAACAGGGTCCCCATGGACAGATTACGGGCCAGTGGCAGCAGCAATGAGGAGTTCCGTACGGGGGCCCATGGCAGATAAGGGGCCTGGCAAACA